AAAAAAAAAAAAAAAACCCAAATCAAAACCCAAAAGATATTTAGTCACTAACTAGCAACTGAATTTAGCAGTGTTCATACTTTTGTCATTGCAAATATGTATTTCAGCAGGAAACCACATGAGAAGAATTGGATTTCCTGTTCAGTTTAGAGTGCAGCAGAAGGCTATTGATGCATCTAGCCAGTKCAGAGTTGTTATCCACTGTTACAAGAGACATGACTGACATCAAAACCCTCAGCTCTTCATGTGAAGGCTAACATGAATAGGCTGCATGATGTCAGATTGATTCTGTCCACTTCTGTGAGYTGCTTATTGCAATGCACAATAAATTCAAGAGCAAAGTACGATAAACTTGCTGCCTAGGAAAGCTGTCTTTGATGCCAGGCAACTGTGCTTGTGCTGCTCTAAAATATAAATTTAAACATACAGATATAAATTAAGGTGTTCCTCTAAGGCAGATGGAGAGCTGYTCATGGCCACATTCTTCTGCTAAGAAGAAAAACTTGAACTCTGCAATTTGTTAGTAACAGCTTCTTTGAGCACTACATAATTCCAAGGAGTATCCAAAAGCAATTTCTTTTTTTTTTCCCTCACATAATAACTAAAATTTGATGAAAAGAGAAGATTTTTCTTATGATTTAGAAATGTGACTTTTACCTCTTTGGAGGTGAGTCTTAGCAATCTATGTGAAGGTCTTTACCAAAAAGAAATCTCTTCCTCAATTTCCATCATAATTTAATTCAAAAATAAGGTAAAAAAAGAAACCACTAAAAAAAGCATAAAAATATGACCAATGTAAAATGGCACATTTTCTTCACTGTTCTTGTGMTATTTTTTCCTTAAAAGAGAAGAAGGAACAGATTCCAATAATCACCCCACACAGCCCATAGAATSCAATACCTGTATTTATGAGACCAGCAGCAAATGAATGCTTTCCTCCAGAAAGATTTAAATTTCACTAACAAAAATCAGTTATAGTCGAAAGGTTACTTTGGTGGAGGAGGGGTGGTCTGGGGTTTTTTGTTTTTTTTTTTTCTTATTATCTGGAGTGCTATCTGTTGCAGAAATGATAGAGAGTTGTGTGATAAAGCTCACCAGCACAGCCACAAAGATGCTCYGAGAAACAGTGGAAAGATGGGAAACCCAAATTATACTGTTGGGCTACCCTCAGATCCATCACCGAAGCCATCAGCCCACTGAAGATTCTTCTCCACAAGCCTAGACAAGCGCAGGGAGGCAGAGTGGCAGGTAGGAACCTAGAATTATACAATCAAAGTATAATTGTATAGATTATACAAAATAATATATTTGTATACAATACAAAGAATCATTTATATTGAAAAAGACCTGTAAAATCATTGAGTCCAGCTGTAAACCCAGCACTGACAAGTCCACCACTAAACCACGTCCGTAAGTGCCACATCTACACGTCTTTTAAATACTTCCATGGATGGTGATCCAACACTTTACTGGGCAGCCTTTTTACAGGCTTGGCAACCCTTTCAGCAAAGCAATTTTTCTTCATCTAAACCTTCCCTGGTGCAACTTTCCTCATGTCCTATCCCATGTTAGCTGGAAAAGGAGGCTGAACTCCACCTGGCTACAGATTCCTCCCACATAGCTGTAGAGAGCAATAAGATCCACTGCCCTTCTCTGGATACGCTCCAGCACCTCARYRTCTYCCTTGTAGTGAGGGGCYCAAAACTGAACACAAGATTTGAGGTGTGGCTTCACCAATGCCTGRTACAGAGGGGCAATCACTGCCCTGGACCTGCTGACTGCTGCACAACCTGATCCAAAGAAAAAGAAACAAACACTTTATTCAGGCCACTCCCTGGACCGTCCCAATAAAACCCCAGTGTCCATCATGACAAGGTGCTGCAAGCAAGCAGCTCTCTAGATCCCCTTCCAGACCAAGCAGATGACAGGCGTGGGATTCATCATTGAATACAGGAGAAAAGCAGCTTCAGGTTGTACAGGATTTACTACATAATGTTTAGGGAAGAAACCAAAGGCAGAAAAAGGGAAATGTTTAGGTGATTTGAGGAAGARCAAGTGTGGGAAAATTGAGGGTTAAGGGGATAAAAATGGCCAGTTGTGTGTGTACATGTTGTGTATTTCAATATTTCTATATCTCACTATCTCTATTCTTTTTCTTTCTTCACCTTTTAAACCTTTTTGACCACTGACTTATTTCAAGGAAGCAATTTGGCAACCAGTAATTTATTATAATATAGTTTGGATAGAGAAAATTAATAAGTATCTAACTTCTTCTAATAAGTTTTGGCAATATTTAGAAGGAAAAGTCTGTTAAAGATTCAAAGAATACTGATCAAATGGTTATACAACTTTCCTTCTGAAAAGTTATTTCACTTTATTCTGTCTTGTAGTTTTGTCTTTAAAAGTGTTTACCTAATTTGCCTTTTTTTAAGTAAGTGTCAAATATTAATATTGAGCACAGAGACATAATTTTTGCATTCATGCAGTATCTAAATGTTTGTAGGTATTTGCTGTGGAGTGGTTTTAGAATTAAAACATTTGCAAAACTGCATTGCCATCACAGTTTTCAAGAATTCTTGAACAACGGGTAGTCTGAATAGAGGAGACTAAACTATCATCTTTATAAAGTGGAACTCAGCAGTCAACATTATTTCAACATCAAGAACAATACTCTAATAAATTATTAAATTGCCACTTTTAAAGCACCTGGAGGGTCAGTGAAAAAGAAGAAGGCAGGAAAGATTTGTTGCAAGCAAAAGTTTGATAAACTGCTGTGTTTTCTTTCTTTAACAGAGTCTCTGACTCATAGCAAAAAAGGCAGTAGAAGTGATGTGCATTGACTTATGGGAATCTTTGGGCACTATCTGAAATTCTCATAAACAGAGTACAGAAACATTTTGTTCCAGACTAGCTTGCTGCACAATAGGTGCACAATGGCTTGCAGAATATACTCCTGGACTTATCTGTATTTTGTTTTCAAAAGAAAAAGGATGCATAATATATAATTCTGCTGGGGTCTGGCCAAAATCTGATCCAGTGCAACATTTTCACTTATGACTTGGTTGATGGAACACAGAGCACTCAAAAAGGTTCCAGAAAGAAAGGGTGCAAGGAAGCTGAAGTATTAGAATTCAAAATTACTTTGATAAATGGGAGAAGTGCTCAGTAATCAATAAGATGAAACTCAATGAATACGTGGACSAAGTACAATATTGAGACTAGAAAAAAATCAAATGCATAAACACAAAATTAGGAATACTAGCAGMACTGTAGAAAGAGACCTGGCTGTTACAAGAAACCAATAAACCACATATTGAATATGAATCAATGATACCATGTTAATGAAAAAACAGAAAAACTCATCCTGGGACATTTTTATAGATATGTCATATGTGAGGCAGGATTAGTAAATGTTTTTCTTAACTCACCTTTCAGAGGTCTCAGTTTGGGATGGTTTAATACAATAGTACATAAGAAGGGTACTTTAGAAAAAAAAATTGTTTAAAATGGAGAATGATTAACAAAGGCAGGGGTAACATTTGCTCTAAGAAATAATGGCTGATGGCAGGTGTGGAGGTAATACAACAACCTTCCAAGTGGAGAAAATTCCCAAAAACAGAGGTCCTACTTCATGATTGTGCTTCATGACACTGAGGACATGACAAAACCTTGCTGTCTTTAATTGCAGCTGGAAAGGCTTAGGATAAAACAGGAAAACCTTCTGACTCTAGGGATAGCTACAGACAGAAMTAGTTCACCAAAAGCCGAGGTATAATCTCCACCATTCAGCTTTGTAAGAAGAGGTTAGAAAAATACTCATCAGAGTTTTTCCATTCCTTTGAAGAAGAGGTAAAKAGTAGATTTTATTGGATTTTCATTCTTGCTACTTTTGTTACAGTTTCAAAGAAACAGAAGGTTGTTACCTTTTTTTTTTAGTGTAAATATTTTCATGACAGCTTCTGACACTGACTTGTGTTTGAGAAATTTATGCCTTGATGGTCTGCTCGTTTTAAGTAGTAACATCTGCACAGGTTAGATCTCTTGCTGACTTGCTGATCCATTCTCTCAAGATAGCTTAACGCATCTGTTGATGCCTGCAGGTCTTTGATTCTAAATATTTATCTTATTTTGGATTTATTTCTGGCCACTTGAATTTTACATTTCCTCACACAGCCCCTGTGACACATCCACCAGCTACACAATTCAGATGACATTGTTTTTGATGCTTACTCCTGGCATCATGGGGGCTAATTTTAACTCTCTGTAGGCTTATTTATTACTCAAATAAACTATGTAACATAGTATGTTTGTTGTTTTAATCATTATACTATGGTGTGCTAAATATTTACCAGGTTGATTTTAAGGATTTTATTTTCTTAAATACTTTGCCTTTGATTTCATGGTTTTATGCCTTTGTACACCCAATCTGCAGTTAAGATCACTACACTAATCTCCACTATCTTGCAGCTACTGTGACAGGGAGAGTCAGCTGTAATTACTTCTTAAATCAAATCTCATTTGTTACTTAGGACTAAATCTCYTGTGCATCAGCAAAGCCACCTACTGCTTAAAGCAGTCCTTTGTGGTAACAAGAATTTGCTACTCTTAGCTATATCCTTCAGTGGTATTTGATCCATTAATCTTAGTACTTGAAATGATCTATTACTACAAGTTTATTTCTATTTGGACCCTTGTTTGTGCACTTCTTTTGCAAGGGTCATTCTTCTACAATAAAATGCACCGAGACTTGGAGTTAGGTAAAAATAGAGTCTGTGGCTCATATTCTTGTTTTCTTTTCCTCTGAAATGTTGTGAAAGTAAAACTGTATCATATTGAAGAGTCAAAATTAGAAAATATATTTGAGACTATGAAATGTGCTTGTTTCATCAGTTTTCTATTAGAGCTCAAGAAGAAAAAATCTATCTCCCATGCCCACCTCCAGCTGCAGTACCTGTAGACTTGAATTTCCAGGTACATCCATTGATTTTCTCAGACAAGAACCAGCACTGTAATTGACATGTCCCTCATGCAGATTTTTTCTACATTTCTTAATACAAGACCTGTGCAAAACTGGTATCATGTGCAAAATTTGGATCACAAAATACAAATTGCAGAGAGCATAGGGTATCCTGTTTATGTCAATGTGTATTACAGGCACATTAACTAACATACRACTAGTATCCCTGTTGAACTGCACCCCTCATGGCAGCCCAGTTTCACATCAGAGAATAGGTGAGAAAGATCATGACTCCAGGAGTTGGACTCGATGATCCTGATAKGTCTTTTCTAACTCAGCATATTCTATTATTCTGTCTTTGAACTGCTTAAGTTCAACAACTTTAAAAAACTCACATGAAATGCCCTGGACTTATCACCACACCTGCCATGGGAGTGTCTCCATTTTTGGAAGATGAACTGACAAAAACATGTAAGTGGGCAGGGCAGCAGTGCTTTCAGTGGCAGCACAGAGGCAKGCAGACTTCCTGAGCCAGAAGCGTTTCCTGCACACAATGGCCCACATGAAATGAGACTGCAAAATTGGTTACATCAGACACGACTTTCTGTGTAGTCATATATTGTCAGTGATGAGAAAGACAGGATCCTTYTGAGCATCATGTCTGGCTCTGTGAGAAGAGCTCTGCAAATGCAGGTGGGGCAGCTCAGCAGCCAGAAGAGATTTCTAGAATGGGAAGTACAATATAAATGGTTATAAGTTCAGTTCTTTATTTGGTGAGATGACTTGTGTGTAAGCATGTTGTCAAGCAAGTAGAGAATAACTAGTCATGCAGAGACCCAAAGCATAATTCCCCATCTCAGTGCCCTGGCAGCACATTGGGACTGGAAAATCAAGAGCAAGAAAGGGTAGTTAGGAAATTAACCATTTTGATAGGAAGTGGTAGTAGACTTGGATACTTTCTCAGCTGCATCAGGGTCACTGATGGGGAAAAAATTCTCTCCGCTATCCTGACTGCTGCTGAGMTCGAGTTAATTTTTTTCCTAGCAGCTGGAACTGTACTGTGGGGTTTCCATGTAGTATGAGAATAATGTTSATAACACACTGATGATWTAGGTACTGYTGAGAAATACTWTATATAAAGAACTTTCCAGTTTCTCAACCTTTGCTAGCAAACAGGTACACAAGGAGGGAGTACAGACAGAACAACTGACCCAAATGAACCAAAGGGGTATTCCATACCACGGAATGTCATGCCCAGTACATAAACTGGGTGGAGTTGATGGGAGGGGACAGTTGCTGCTCAGGGGTGGACTGAATGTTGGCCAACAGGTGGTGAGCAATTGTATTGAGCATCATTTGTCTTTCTTGGGTTTTMTTTCTCTCTCTCTTTATTGCTGACCTTTTCATTACTAYTATTATTGTYRTTATTATTATTATTAGTTTATWGTTTATGTTTAGTGTTTTATGTTTTAGGTTTTATTTTAATTACTAAACTATTCTTATCTAAACCTGTAAGTTTCTTCTCCCCATCCCACCAGGRCTGGGGGCAGTAAGCAAGTGGCTGTGTTTTACTTAGTTGCTRGCTGAGATTAAGCCAACATATCCACAAATTCAGCTCTCCATGCTCCAGACCAAAAGGAAGGAATAATTGTGTTGCAAGGTTTTGTAACTAACCATGGAAGACAGGGCCAGTGACAGGCGACAGAGYGAGGTGCACCGTGCCTGGATGTCCCACAGCTCTCTCCTGGCCAYGCTGACACAAGCAGACTATGATCCCTCAAGTTCCCAGCACAGTGAGATCAACAGGCTGACACATCAAGAGCCACAGGACACTGTGCCTGCACCCTGGCAGTCAAGCTCATGAGCTCATGCATTGGCAATCTCCATCAAGATCTTTTCAATTACTTCTTTAGTTGTAAAGTGGTGACTGGATGTGTGCTTGTCCACCTCAAAGAAAAAATCCCTGATTTTCTGTCAGACTTTATTCTACTCATAGCTTTCCTACTTTTTTTTTTTAAAAAAAAAACAAACCTATTTTAAAGTATCTATCTCCTAATCACAAGGAACTGTACCTCAAGGTTTTTTGTTCCCTACTTAATCTAGCACTGATGATGGTGGGTATGTCACATACTTAGCAATGGGGGCTCTCTAGCTTGCGAGAAAGGAGAAGGCAAGATATCTGCAAAGAMTYATCCCTCACAGGAGYTTGGGACAGGAGGAGAGAAGCCAAAAATACTTCATAACAATGATAAGTAGAATCAAATAACTCCTTGAGTTCAAACATACTCAAGCCAAGACTTGATTTTAGTTTTCAAACTTGTGCTAGATCGGGCATAGAAAAGTGTACAGAATTATCACTCCCTTAGCATATGTAGATCATCTTTATGCTGGATGACATGATTCTGGGTGTGAAAAAACMATATTTTTGCCATAGCAGGGGAAGACTATCAATGAATGTCCTGAAGTAGATTTCCACATATGCTTGGAAGTGGTGGATTTCTGGGTTACAGCCATCACCTGTTACTTTGACAAGGAATAAAGTCTGATKCCCYGAGTAATGTCGGGTAGATTTCAYTTTCCTATCCTAAACTATAAGCTCRCTTWCAYGAYGTCTGATGCAATATCATCCAATAGTCAGAGCTCATATGGTAGCAGGATGGGGAGTGCATGGGCCCCATTTAGAGTCACATAAATTCTGTTCAGAATAAATATTTGCTTCAGTGTCTGAGACATACCTGCTTTCTCATAGTAACTGTGACACAGTAATGACATGAGAAAATCCAAGAAGAACATCAGATGAATGAGGAGCAGGTGCAATGGGTAGATGCAGACCATGGAAAGGAAGCTTTGTGTTTCAGGCTTGGAGAAGYTGAGGCCATGGCAATCATAATTTTTAATGCATTAATTTTTATCAGTGGTTTTCCTAAAGGCAGGATTCTTAATCCAGTCCTGTGCTGTCTGAGTTCTCCAGGCTGATGCATTTGCAAAGAGAGGATATTACAGAAGAAATCATTGCTCAAGTTGATAGATGGAGTTGTTGATAGATGTTTTCCACAGAATCCAAGTAGGTCAAATAACTCTTACTTGGTTCACTTGGGATCATGTGGAACAATGCCGAAGGGGCTTGCTTGCCAAGTACACGATTTCTACTGTGGCTCTGGTCCAGGCTCTGTCTGATCAGTAATGCTACGCCATCACCAAATTCTTCAAAGTTGCTGTTGATGGAGTTGAGACAGTTTACAAAAAAACCACCACAAGTATAAAAGSCAAAATATGCTCCCAAACCTGCACATATTTCTTGAGAACCATTTGAGTTTTGTGGCAAAGCAGCATCAAGAGCACAAAGGGAGTATGAAAGAACTGGCAAAAGAGCYTTTCATCTGGCAAAGAAGCTTCATTCAGAAATACAGTTATCTGATACTTGATCTTACACAATCCTGACAGACAAAAATTACTCCTTCATGTGTTTATATAAATATTCTCACCACCACCCCCAGATTCAGTCAGCATGGCCATATAGTAATTCAACACCTTGTGTCTAAGGGCTGCAGCATTTTTAATCTAATACAAGCTACCCTACCTTACAGTTTTGTGAAGCCCCCGTGTCATTAYTGCCTCTGCTGTTTGCAGCTGCTGACCTCTCATCTCTCTCTGTCCAAACGCAACCTATGTAAGTGCTGGCAGAGAGTAGAGAGGGAACCAATGAAACTGGAGCACGCAGACAGCTGCTTTCCCTCCCCCTTCACGCCCCCTCTTTTTCTTTCCTTTGTAAAGATATTTGGATGTTGCTCTGTTCAGCATTACAAGCCCTGCTGTGCTCTAGAGAGCCATGCCTAAATAGGTCCAAAAATATCAGTCAGTGTGTTAGGTGAAAAATCAATGAATGTTAAGGACACCTCAGAAAGCAAGCCAGAAGGGACACAGAAGAAGACAGTTTGGTATCCTAAAAAGGAAGCGGGGGCGGAGGGGAGGTGGGGGAGAGTGCAGACTACAGGTGGGGATTTGGGGTGAGAGTGTGTTTTTGAGGCTGAGAAATGGGTGGGTATTAGAACAAAGCAAGAAGGTAGCAAAAAATAATGGGAAAAGCAAGACCCAGGGACTTAAATTCACACAGGAAAAAACTGGAGCGAATAAATAAGATGAAAAGATTAGGAAAACAGAAACAAAATGTAGAACTGACAAACAAGAGAGACAGTAAACTCTGCCCATATGGAAAACTGCACATATGGATACAGAGAAAGGATAATTAAAGCAACAAAAAAGGAGCTAAGCTCTTTGTAGTTGAAATATATATACACTGTGAGAGACACCAAGAGCAGASACTCACCACTAAGTGGATTTTCCTAGTTTGGGCTGTTGTGCAAACCAGCCACCCTCATGTGATACTATGCYTGAGCTACATCTTGCCAGGAACCTCATATTTCAGTGGGTCTCTKCTCACCCACACATTTCCATGCTGTGCTCTTTTCCTGGGTAACAACACACTTCTAAAGTTCTGAGCCTGAAAGAAAGTGGTGATGAAAGGCTTTTGCTTAACTTTTTCCTATTTTGGATATTTTTCTTTCATAGATCTCTATAGGAGTTARGACTCCTGTTGGGACACACACACACATCCTCAGACGTGATTTTTCTTCCATATAACTCAACAGGTGAYTACTGCTRAYTTCAATCAGAGTCCACAGAGAACARTCAGTATCAGGGTGCAGAGGGAAGGTGCTGGTTCATGTACAAACAATGCTGAAAGGGGCAGACTCAGAAAACTGGTAGAAAGAATTTGAGTGATGGTTGGAATCTGGGAAAGAGTAAGTGGTATAGGAGTAAAACTGTGGATGGTAAAAATAAAAAAAAAATGAAAATCATGATGCCCCCACTGAAACCACTTACACCACCACCATCTCTTGTAGCTTCAATCACTTGCTAAGTTGACACAGAGTTTTTACTCTGCCCCTAGAACAAATTTTTCAAAAGCACTGTACTTACAGCTTCAGATGGAAATCCAGTGAAAGTTTCCATAGGACTTAAAACCACTTGCTTGTCTAAACACAAATAACGCAGCATTTGTAGGGTCGTGGTCCCTATCCAGCTATGGTTGCTGTGAAACAAAAAAATCTGCCATGTAGACAGAGCAGGACTTCAAGCAGTTTTGGGGAATTTGTAGATGAAAGGAGGAAGCTTCAACTACATTTTCTAAAAGCACAATAGAATCACAGTTCACCACAACCAAGCAAGACAGTTTGGGGGAGCAAGAAGTGAGAGTACATTTACRCTGTAGAAAACACAGAAGAAGCAATTTAACAATATTATGTGTGATACTTTTTCTGTGTACTTTTCTTTGGTATATTGTTAGGAAATGGGCCAATTTCAGGAACATAGTTTTCMATTTTCACTACTACAGTGGGTAAACTGATAGCCTTTCAAAAAAGTGGAGCAATGCTCTGGGAATAAAACCACACCACACTGAATGACATACAAACAAAATGTCTCTTTAGAAAACAGAAACCTTTAGAACTWCAGGACTTTGAGGAATTTCAGAAAATCATTCTGTCTAGCCCTGCACTGAGGTGGCATCAAATACTCCCAGCCCACTCTTGCATGTGCTCATCCTAACTTCTCAAAAAATTCCTCTGAAGGAAGTTTCTCTGGAGCAACAGTTCTGGTGTCTCACCATTACAATTCAGTATAACAAAGTGGAGATTCAGGGCACGGCTGTGTTATTTTCACAATAGGGACAAACATCATTCACTGCTAGGATTAGGTAACACTCAAGTTGGACTCGATGATCCTTGTGGGTCAATCCAACTCAGACTATCCTGTGCTGTGATTTTCTACTTGTGACCTGTGTTTTCTGTCTCTACAGTGTCTGGAAAYAGCCTGTACCATGCTTATGCCTATCACTTTCTTACTCTAAAATGGTATTTCTACATTTCCTCTCTTCCAGAGGGTTTCTTGGAGGCCTGGAGTAGAGACTGTGGGGAGTGTGGCCCCATCCCTTTGAAGGATGAAACATGAACAGCTGGTAAAGAACTTCTTTGGCACTTTCATCCCTGACTTATCACAGAATCATGGAACAGGCTGCATAGGGAGGGAATTTAAAGATTTTCCTGTTCCAGCCCTTCTGCCATGTGAGACTGAWTCCACTASACCAGGTTGCTTGAACACTTCCAGGGATGGAGCATCCACAACTTTTCTGGGCAACCTGTTCCAGTGCCCCTCCTCCCTTACAGTAATTTTTTTTCCCCTAGTATCTAATGTAAATCTCCTCTCAGTCTGAAGCCATTCCCCTTTGTCCTATCACTACTAATAGTTCTTGAAAATAGTCTCTCTCCATCTTTCTTGTAGGCTCTCTTCAAGAGGTTAACCCTTAAGTCTTCTCTTTTCCAGGCTGAAAATCTCCAAATCTCTCTTATAGRAGAGGTGCTCCATGCCACTAATTATCATGGAGGCTGGTCATCTTGYACTTGACAAAAAACTTGGGGTCATACTATAGAATATTTAAACTGATGGGATTAGCACACGTGTACCATTTCAATATTTTTTTTTTTTCCAAATCTGAGTAAGGTTAACGGGCTTTGCTATGGAGGTGRTTATTTTAGATCTACCATTTCTTGCACCACACAGCTGCCATGACCAGCTTCGGTTTGCCCAGCCATCGCTCCAAACCAGTCAGGCTGAGAGGGGTCGGATCCGCAGGGAACAGCAGCACAAGCATCAAGGGAAAACAACAGCACAATCGTCATTCATCTGCTTTTAATCCAACGACGGCAAGCCTGGACCAGCACAGGCTGCCAGGGCCGAGCTCCCGTTTTGTGCGAGCTGACCCACCCCGAACCGCGCCAGATGCACCTGCCGGGCACGACAACCGCCCCGCGCATGCACCGCCGCCACCGCCGCCGGCCCAGAACTACATATCCCGGCATGCCGCCCGCGCCCGCCGCCGCGGCCCAGCCAATGGGGAGGGASAAGGCTGCTCCCGCCTCCACGCAGCAGGTGTGGAAGCAATCSCCGAGCCGCCCTTCCCCCGCCCGCAGGCAGAGGGCTGGCGCGGGAGTCTTATTACAAAGGAGCAGAGCGACGGGAGGGGGAACAGGCCCTGGCTCCCATATGGAAGCCGTCGTGGTGTCTCTTCCCCGCTCCCYGGACGGCCGAGGAAGCGGGCGCGGGGGCCGCGCCTCAGGGGAAGCGGCGGCTCGAGGGCTTCCCGCGCGCTGTCAGTTACGGGCGCGCGAGGCGGGCGGACGCCACCGGGTTGGCCGGAGGCCGCGCGCGGCCCCGCCCGCCCCCTCGCCGGATTCGCTGGCGACCGGGGCGCGCGCGTCGTCAATCACCGGCCCGAGCCGCGGCGGGAGCCGGGGCTGAGGGCTCGGCCTGGCCCCGCCCCCCCGCGGCCGAGGCTCCGCCCCCGCCCGCCCCTCCGCTCGGCGCTGTCAAGCGCGCGGCGCGAGCGCGGAAACCCGGGCCGCCCCACACGCCCCCGCGGAACGCGCGCGCCCCGGCGGCCACGCCCCCTCCCGAGCGGCGCGGACGGGCAGAGGATCGGGCGGAGGAGGAGGAGGAGGAGGAGGCCGAGGGCTCTGGGCCGCGGCCCGCCCCCGGCCCGCCCCCCGTGCCTGCGGCGTGGGGAGTCGGGCTGAGGCGGAGCGGGGCGAGCGAGGGGCCGGCGGCTGGGCTCGGTTTCCTGCTCAGTGGGCGTCGTTGGGGCCCCGGAGGGCCCCGCCCCCGAGCCGCCCACCCCGGCCCCCGGCTGTCACTCAAGGCGGCGGGCTGAGGCCGGCGGCAGCGGCGGGCGGAGAGAGAGGCAGCTACGCCACAGCCCAGCGGCGGCCATTCGTGGAAAAATAGGCCGTCCCGCTCCTCCCAGCTCCGGCTGCGACCGGCCTTCTCCCCGCTACCCCCACCCCACCCTCCGCCTCCTCCTCCTCCTTCTCCTCCCCCCTAGAGCGGCGCCTCAGCGGGGCATTAATGCGGGATGAGCGGTATGTAACCCCCTCCCTCTCTCCCTCCTGTGCACACCCCTCCCTCCCTCCGCTCCTCCCTCCACCCTTCATCGCCCCTCTATCCCGCCCTCTCGGGTTCCCCCTTTTCTTCCCTCTGTTCTCCCCCTTCTTACCCTGTTCTTGTCTCGCTGCCCCTCCGCCCATCCGTGTTGTTCCTCTTATGCCCCCTTTCTTCTCTTCCTCTGCTGCCTGCCCCTCCGGCTTGCCTCCTCCGTACCTCCCTCCTCCATTCCCCCTTTCTTCGCTAACCCTCCCTCCTGTGCACATCCCTCCCTCCTTCATTCCTCTTTTCCTCCCTCTTTCCCTCCCATGCACAACCCTCCTCCTGCCCCCTAAAGCATCGGCGGCCACTCAGTGGCCGTCGATGCTTTAGGGGGCAGGAGGAGGAGGAGGGTTGTGGGTGGTTTTTTCCTGCTGTCTCTGGGAGAGGAAACCAAACCTCCCCTTTCTGGGTGTTAACTCTCCAGCCCCCATGGGTTGGGTTTCAAACCACGTTTCTTAGGACTCGTTCTTTTGTAATAATGATTTGTACTGTTGTTTTTATGAAGAGGCAAAAGCGACAAGCTGGGAACCRAAAAGGATATGCTCGTAGGTTTTGTTATTGTATAAATGAAGGTGAATAATTAACCTGTTACACTTGATATTTTTGCAGATCAAAAGAAGGAGGAAACTATGCCCACAGAGGGAGAGAAATCTCCCGAGGCAGAGAATAACAACAATAATAATAAAAAAGGGAAAACTGGAGGCTCACAGGTAAAGAACACACACCCRAATGGGGAAGTGCCCAAACTATTAGCATTTAAAATGAAATATTCAGCTAGCAGCATTTCCTGCTCAGGGCATCTTTCTTTGGGTTGAATGAAACGCAGTTGGTTGGATGCAATGTTTTTACTGCCTGGACATGTTCGTTTGATTGTGTTTTGCAGTGATCAGCTGCT